GCTTGCCCGCCGCCCTCCCGCCAGCTCTCCGGCAGAGCCCTCCCGTCCCGCTCCCTCCCAGAGCGCAGCTGGGTGTTTGGCTCCCCTCCCGGCTTCCTCTCCCTCCCTCCGCTGCTTTGCTGCCCGGCTGTTCCTGGGACTGGTGCCGTCTCCTTGTGCCCTGCCTCCGTCTGCGGCATGCCCGGGCCTTTGCCCCCCACAGAGGTGTACGCCTCGGAGCGGGTCGTCGTGCTGGTCTCCTGTGTGCTTTCCTTCTTGGGTTCCAGCCTCCTGGTTTGCACCCATGCCCTGTGGCCGGAGCTGCGGACCCGTCCCCGCCAGCTCCTGCTCTACCTGTCGCTGGCGGACCTCCTCTCAGCCCTCTCTTACTTCTACGGGGTGCTACAGGACTTCGACAGGACCTCGTGGGACTGCGTGCTGCAGGGTGCCCTGTCCACCTTCTCCAACACCAGCTCCTTCTTCTGGACCATGGCCATTGCCCTTTACCTCTATATCACCATTGTGAGGGGCTCGCCCACAGGCACAGGCTTGCTCTGCTGCTTCCATGTCGTGAGGTGGGTGCTGTCCCCTCTTCCCGTGAGAGCACGGGGGGTGGACCCCGCAGGCACCCAGCCTGTGGCCAGGAGCCACCGCTGCTGCGTGCGGCATGCTCTGCTCTGTGATGAAGCGCTTGGATGGTTGCTCGAGTCACCTACTCTTTTCTTAAGGATAGTGTGCCCTTCTCAAGTTCCTTTTAAACAGGGATTTTGCTGTCTTTTAACTAAACAGCCCTGCTTATTTCCCCCCTCCCAAGTGAAGAAATGGAGATGTTAAAAATTATTTGCTTAAGGTTACCTAGAAAAACCGCTGGCAAGAGATAATGACTCTGAAAATCCTGGCTTCTGCTTTCCCTCCACAACCTGCTCTGATGTCCTAGAAATAGTGTCATGATACTTGTGTTTGCAATACCTGTCTGCTGCTGCCGAAACTCCTGTGTTCAGGATCCGTTTCCACGGGTCCCTGACTTCCCGGTGTCAGCCTGGTCTGTAGATCCTTCCCCTTTCCCCAGGCAGGCTGCTGTAATTCAATACTCGTAGAAGAATGTAGTCTACAAGTGGGGAGGCTGCTAGAAAAGCACTCTGAAGGTTGTTTTGGCATGTTTGAAAGCAAGGCAAAACAGATCACAGTGTAGCTTTATGTCTTAGTTTTTGCTATTTAGTTAGCTGATTCTCCACGTCGTGTTAGTAAAAGCTTTCATTATGCAATTTGAGCTTGTGGAATCACGTGCTACCTCCATGCTGAGCAAAACAGTGATCCTTTAGTCCTCGTGCTGCCAAGCTTTTGCAATAAATTATAAGAGGAATGATCTAGTTCTTAAAAGAAAAAAAAGCCATCAGAGCAAGTACTGAATTTTCTTTGGTTTCTTAGTCTAATATTTGTCACCTTTTATTTTCAAACAGCATCATTTGGAAGATGGTTGAATTAGAGTTGAGTCCAGGTAAAGGTGGGCCAGAGGAAGACATTAAGGCCAAGTGTGAATCAGGGAGGAACTTCAATTCCTGCCCTACCTGTTCTAATTCTTGCTTGACAGCAAGGTCTGCGTGTGAGGAAGCCTGAGGTGACTGCGCTTCTATCTGGGTACACCGGGCTATTGTTGGTGAAGTTGAAATAAGATGCAGTGAGACAGGGGAGTTTGTTAGGTTATTTCATTTCACGTTTGTTAGGTTATTTCATTCCACGTTTGTTAGGTTATTTCATTTCACGTTTGTTAGGTTATTTCATTCCACGTTTGTTAGGTTATTTCATTTCACGTGACTAGAGAGTTGCACTACGGAGGGGATGGAGTGCTAGTGCAGAGCCACGTGTTGCTTAAGGAACAGAAAAAAGGAGTCGGACTTCTTTATGGGCATGCTGGTCAGGCTACATCAAAGAGTAGAGTTGATGTAAATCTGGCCTATTTGTAATTTTCGACTAGAGAGTTGCACTACGGAGGGGATGGAGTGCCAGTGCAGAGCCACATGTTGCTTAAGGAACAGAAAAAAGGAGTCGGACTTCTTTATGGGCATGCTGTCTGCGTCAGGCTACATGAAAGAGTTGATGTAAATCTGGCCTATTTGTAATTTTCCTGTCTGCTAATCACTTGTTGTGTGGCCTTTGTTCTTTAACTTCTCCATCTGGTTTAATGTTTCTCAGCCTCATCGGCTATGAAGTGCGGACAGAAACAGGCAGAGTCGCTGAAAAAACGTTGGCCGTAATCTGTGCACTCTTTTAAAACTGTAAAAATCCTGAAAGATTGCTCTAACCCTGCGACAGAGGAAGGGAGTGCTCAAACTGAACTTCCTCTGGGGAATTTGCTAGGTTTATTTTCAGGTCTTCGCAGTAAAAATAAAATGCCATCTTCTGTTCTTGGTATTGATCAGCTCCACTTGCTCTGTTTAAAGGGCAATATAGATAGCTTTCATCGAACGCCTATTGACAGGTTCTGCTTCGTAAATGACTCCCGTTCTGTGCAGAGCCAGTGTTTGAAGCTGCTTCCTGCTTTATGATCTGTATGAAAAGCCAAAGAAAACAAGTGAGGACCTGTTCTCTGCCCGTCCCCTTGTGACACATCTTCCTTCTTTCCTTCCCTGCACTTTTATCATTACCTGAGAACTCAATCATAGAACCAAATTCTGGACGTAATGCTTGGAGATGGGTCCCCCCTCGCGCTTTTCCGTGCTTCAAAGTCCTACTGGCTGCGGTGCTGTTAGCCTAAAAGTCTTCTGGTACCACGCAGGTAGGAACTGCTGCAACTGATACGAAAAGATACTAGTCCATACACTAATTGCAGAAGGTAGGTGAGGGAGACCTGTCTAGGGCAAAAGGAAAGGTGGCAAAGGGCAGATGATGTTTTAAGGATTTAAAGATAAGTTTCCAGTATTTTTGTCTCGGCAAGAACCTGGGATTTTTTGTTTCCCCTCCTCGCTTCAGAGGTTGCTAACGCAGTCATGTAGCGACTGTTGTGCGAAGAGTCATCCTGAGAGACACTTCTGGAAGGGATTCAAGGCAGGATGGAGTTTTGTCATGATGTTTCCTATTCTTCACAAGCAGTTAGTCATAAGGGGCAAGTGTTCGTAAAGATGAGTGCTCTTTTAATGTTGAGTATAACCAGAGACTGTCTGTTCTTTAGCTGAGTAGAGCTGACCTAAATGTATGTTGGAAGTCAGTAACTGAAATTTTCTTTTTAGGGAAGTTAGGATGTCACGCGGGATGAAACCTGTCAAACAGGTTTGTTCCTTATTGATTCATGTGGTAACAGATCCACCTAGTCTACTGCTAGACTAGGGAACTGCAGGCTCTGTTTTGGTTTTAAACTTGTGTTGAGCTCAGACGAGCTTTGAAAACAAGCTTACAGTTAGCTTTGAAAATATTTATGTAGTTGTAAGGTGTAAGTTCTGGCATCCAGAGTGTAAATTTCCAGGCTACCTCACTTGTTCTGGATTTCTAAACATCAAGTATCATTTAGTGGGGTCATGTCGTCTTTGCTGTGAGAGTGGTTGATCCAAACTCGGGGTGAGGAGTGGACCAGAACCCACCTTGGGTTTGTTTCCTGCCTTGCTTTTGATAGCAATTGCTGTCAACCTTTCAAGTATTCGCATATCGTGATCAGGCTATGCAGATGGTTATAAGCATGTATATGCTTTTTTATATATAAAATTATGTGTGTGTGCTTATACATATGTTTATAACCATGCATATATATGTATATACGCATGCATGTCCATGGAGTACCTGGGGGTCCTTTCATGTGCTGCTGTCCTGTACATCTGAGGCCTCAACGGGCTGCCTCATGCACGACTGACGGTGCCAGTGCTAAACTTCAGAACTGGACTTCAGTCCCTAAGTGTTGCCTGTGAGGTGCAGGGATCTCTTGAAATTTGCGATGGCTTTATCATTTAGTTTATAAAAGCTTGTAGATCAGGCCAACGAACGTGCAAGCTACCCGACTGCTGGTGCCTTAGCTTTTAAATTCTTGCATGCTTCACTGGGAGGAGTCTGCGCTTGGTACCAGAAAGTTGGTACTTTGGTACTGCAAACTCAGTTTAATGTTTGAGTGGGTAAAAAAAAAAAAAAGGGGCAAAAATGAAATTGGAGCAGATTTGGTCTGGAGTTCTGTTTACAATGCACGCTCAAAGCTCTTTCCTGAAATTGGCTGGTACATCCAGAAGACTGATTTTCCTTTCTTACAGAGTAAAAATTCCTGTCCCCAGAAGGGATCGCCTGCAGGCTTGCTGGTAGGATGGCTTGTCGTCTGACCTGTGCAGGCAGGTGACTGCAAGTCTTCCCTGCTTGTAGGAGCCTCTGGGGGGAAGAAAAAAAAAAAAGCAGCTGTGCAGCGTAAATCAAAATGTGATATTAAGCAATCTGACCCAGGCATACTGAGGACAAGAAAACCAACCCAGCAGTATGCTGCTATAGTTTGAGGGTCCTTGTCCTACCTTGATTAAATGCAGCATTGGTGTTAATGTGGAAAGATATGCTGGGTTGTATGTATTTTTATTAATAGGTTGCTGGGGGCTATATTAGGGAAGTAAGTACTGTTGTACCTGCCTTAGAGCTGGGATTGCCAGCCTTCTTACAGAGGTGCAAGGAGTAGCCTTCTTTCCCTTCTCTCCCACACTGATTGCGTTTAGATCCAAGTGTGCTTTTGAGAGGCCCATCCTACATAATTGCACTGTCTTTGGGGCTCAGAGTAAAATTTCTGCCTCTTTTTGTTATCTTGGATCCTTTTTATTCCAGTCTTTACATATGCCTTGGGTGTATAATATTGTGATTCTTCTGTTCCTCCATTCTTCTAGATGGGTATAAAGCATTGATATTTTCCAGTTCTTGGGATTCTGTCATTTAGGGGTTCTTAAGAACAATCAAATCGCTAGTCTCAGTTCTCCTTTCCGGTTTTCTAAAACAGAGCTGAAGAAGTTCACTGAAATGTCTGTTGACTTTCTAGATTCTTTCTAACTTCACTTGGAGTTTGTAATCCTTTGTCCCTGGTGTTAGTTGTAATAGCCGTCTGATCCCAATACACTATTTCAGTAAAAATTTACTGCCTGATGTGTGACAGTTTTCTTCCACGTTCTTCCTTTTCCTAGTTAGATACTTGAAGATTTTTTAAAGTCCCTTGCTTAGTGGTCTGTTATTTCCTACTGTGGCCTCTCTCACTGTGTCTGTACATACTTATGCTGTTCTCTTTTATATCCATGCCTAGTAATTTGACCTGGTTTTATCTTCTCATGTAATTCTCTTTCAGTTTCAGGTCACTGTGGAGATCATTATTTAGGCAAATTAGGTTTTTAATACGCTTCCTTTTTCTTGGTGCTGGACTCATTTGTGCTTGTGTGCCTCAGTATGGTTTCTTTAAGGAAGTGCCAGTTCTTTTGAATTCTTTATCTTAGTGGTCTGCTCTTCCAAGTGTACTGAAATGTGAATGTCTTTGCATCTGTAATCCTTGTTTTCAGGCAAATCACTGTTTTTGCCAAAATGAGTCTTGAGTTCTGTAGAAACTTTCATGGTGGTGGCGATGTTTGGAATGTTTTTAGAAAGCCTGCTCTGATAATAGCACGGGGAGGGCTTCCTGCAGCAGAACTGTCCTTAAGTAACAGCCCTGGCTTGGATTAGCACTGGCTGTTCTGAGCTGAACAGTGAAACAAAATGTTCTAGACATGCCAAAAGGTTGACTGTGAATTTTTTTACAGCATTATATTTACTTTTGTGTTGTGAGTAAGTGAACCCAGACATTACTTAAGAGTAGGAAATGGGGTATTTTTGAGATCTAATATCATGGGATTATCTCTGATTTTCCAATTGGGCTGTGGAATTTCAGCTAATCTGGTCTAGGCAACTGCTGGTTGCCTACGTAGTCTGATGCATGTGAAACAGATTTTAGGAGGAAGATCCTTTTCGTGTTCTCTGCAGCTGCTCCAGGCTGTCTGTGAAAGATGAGCGTGAACCAGGCAGGTAATGAGCAATACAGTAATGGCTTTGTTTTCTTTGCGTCTGGAGAGACCAGGAGGGTTATGCTGGAAGCTCAGTCTGAGTGCTCTCTGAAGCATGTGTGTCATCTGTTGAGGAAGTGTCCCTTGTCCCTCTTAAGGCTCCACAGAACCTTCCTCTGAGGATGAATATGGGAAGGGCAGGTGACGCGTCAAGTTGAATGCAAGGCAGGATTTCAGTTGTGGAGTAATTTGCAAGTTGTACATCACAGGCTAAGGCAGGCCTGTAAAGTCCTGGGTATTAACAGCACCCAGGAAGGGGCTGAGTATTTTTACATTTGGGCTCATGGAATTTTCCAGTTCTTGCTCATGGCTTTTTTGTGGGCAGCCCAAGCTGCTGAGTGACTTCATTCATGTGTGTCACCACAGTTATTTTTCTTCTAAATGCTTCCCTATATTTGCCTCTGCTGTCAAGAGAGAAGCCAAAGTCAAAACACAGCTCCAAATTATGTGAATATGACTCCTCTTTGCTTTCTTAGCTTTTTGCTGTTACTGCCAGTGCTTTTCCTTGGGAAGAAACTTGCACTTTGTCCTTCAGCAATTATCCTTTTGCTCCCAAAATATTGACTACAGCTCCATTTAAAAACAAAACAAACAAAAAAGCCCCACTGATGGAATAAAATTGTGGATTTCTTTGTGTGCTGGTCCTTTGTGCCAAGTGTCACTTAGGAATTGGAATGTGGGATTTGGTTGCTTGTGTTCTGAAAGCTGCGTATCAGCCAGCTTGCTCTCGAATGGCTGGGTCCTACAGGATAGTCGCACTGTACAATGCTCTGGCCGTGACAAATCCTCGACCTCACCTGTATCCGGGAGAGAATGGGAGAAGGGGAGTAGGTGGGATGTCTTCTGTTCACCTCGCTGGACCCTGACCGCTTGCTGTGCGGGCCAGGTTCCAGTTCAGAGTGTAGCACATCATTATGCATCTCTCCTTCAGGACCGGGGATCCAAGTTCCTCGAGTGGGTCCCTAGGAAGTGGATTTGCAGCCCACATTCATAGGCTGTCAAATACCTGTTTGTCAGTCGCTCCCCTTAGGCCTGATGCAGGAGTGTCGACGTTCTGGAATAGGTATTGGCATCCTGTCTGATGAAGAATCCCCTGGTCTGTCACCCGTTTTCCCTGGGGTGTGGAGGGACTAAACTGAGCATGCTCTTGGCTTAACCTTGCTCTTCATGTTCTTTCCTTAGCTGGGGAGTCCCCCTTGGCATTACGGTGGCTGCTGTTGCTCTGAAGAAGATTGGCTATGACGCCTCCAATGTTTCTGTGGGCTGGTGTTGGGTCAACTTGGATGCAGAGGATCGGGTCTTGTGGATGTTGTTAACGGGGAAAGTTTGGGAGATACTGGCCTATGTGACTTTGCCGGTGCTCTACGTCCTCATCAAGAAGCACATTAATAGAGCGGTGAGTATTTTGCTGCTTTCAGCTTAGGTTACAGACTTGCTGTGTGATTATATCCTCCCATGTTCTGAAGGTTTTGCTGCATATTCAGCAGCTACACAGGCAGGAATTGCTTCATATACTGCTGAAATGCATCCACCACTGGGGGAAGCAGTATACCTGACTGAGCAGCCTGCAGCATCATTACACAATGACTTAGCACAAGAAGAATGTAAAAGCCTTTTGAAAACTTAAGGGGTTATGGGATGTACATGAGTGAAATGTGAATCCTACAGTAAGAATTGAAACAGGATGTGAAGGACAAAATTCAGCTCTAATCAGTCTTCCACAGTTCCACTTGTATCAAGCCTGAGTTTGGCGTCTGGACTTAACATCAGCCATTTTAGGATCTCTAATGATGGTCTGCGTTTATGAGTACCTGTTTTGTACTAGCAGCATAAAGCCCCATTTGGGAGTCTGGGCACTATAGCATTAAGCACCATATGCATACACAATCCAGGAAGACACCCTGTCTGAGGGTTTCAGAATTCAGAGTCTTATTTGCTGCTGTTCCTTGTAAGCACAAAGAATCCAGGCATCTAGGACAACATTTGCATAATAGATAAATCTAGATTGAGAGTGGCAGAAGGAACTACATCCAGAGATTCCTTTTCTCTCTAAGTTGTATTAGGGGGAAAGAAAAACTGGATAGATGTCCTCCTGGAAAATGCTGCCACTGCAAACCTGCTTGCTGTGGTGAAGCTATGGCAGTGGTAGTTATCTCAGTAGGGCAGGATCCCACAGACGAGTTGGAAGAGCAACGTAGTCTTAAGCAGTCCTAAGGGTCCTGGGAAAGGGGAGTTGGGAAGGGTTTGCTAGTGCCTGTCACCATCACCTGACACGAATCAGACAGGACTCTGTGTTCCAGCAGCTGTCAAAGATAGCAGGGTGACTGCCTGGAAACCCGACCCCCCACCTGGCCAGGCTCTTACCCTCTTGCTCTGCCAGGGATTCTTGGGCACTCTGCTCTCCCTTTCCCACTCCCAGCCCTGACCCTCTTACAGGAGCAGGCAGTTGTCGCTCTCTCTTCTCATAATGGGGGGGTCTGAGGGCTGGAGCAGCAATACACAGGGCCGTCTGGACTGGAGAATCTCTCTTCGCGTCACTAGGGATTTTGCCAAGCCTGGTAGCCCGCTGCTTATGCCTCTCTACTGGCAGGAGGGCTCCCACTTCCAGGGAAGAGCAATAGGCAACCAGGGCTGAGTTTGGGCTGTCGTAATAATGGCTGAAGTAGGTTTTGCAGTAGTGGCTCCTACACAGTCTGAGAGGCAGGAGGAATTATGGAAGTAGCTGTTGGGGGGGGGACACACACGCAGGGTGTGTACTAGGGGCTTTCCAAATGAAAAAGACTCCACGGGAGTGGATGGGAAGCTGCACTGAAAGCCCTCAGCGGGGTTTGACTCGGGCCACTGTGCAGTGTTGTCATACAGCTCTCTTCTGGAGGGAGTAAGGTGTCAGGGCTGGGAGTACTGGAGCCAAGGAGAATACTCTGCATCAAAGTCGTGTGTGCTCTGTAGCCCTGATGGTAGGAGGAATAGTTTTCTGCAGGTCAGCTGTCCTGAGATTTAATCTCTTCACCCACATTAACATCCTGGTATTCAGCTTCGTGTGTCCCAGCAGCTGCTCTGTGCGCCGTGTTGACCTGCTCTCCCCCATCCAGGAATCTGAGTGCATCCAGTAGCTTCTATCATAGGAAGGTCTCATGGGCCTTACACCTCCAACCACCCTGATCCAGGGCACAGATCCCTGATTTTTTTTTTTTTTTCTACATGTGCTGGTATAGAGAGGTTTGCTGGCTTGTCCAAATCCATGGAAGCCCATTGCGGACGGTATATGGTCAGAAATCAGGCAGCAGGTTCTACACGAACATACTGAAGGACTGGTTCACAAGGGCATAAATTCCTTGTGGAACTTGCTGGCTGTGGCTGTGGTGAAGGCCAAAAGTTTGAATAGTTTGAGAAGGACGAGCCAGACTTCTCCCCATATATATATATAGATAGATAGATAGATAGATATCTCAAGACACCTTCCCAAGGCCAAACCCTTAGCCATGCATTTACGAAGCGGTAAGGCCAGCAGCGATGGGGCCAGGCCACTGGCCCGGCAAAACTGTTTTGTGGAGCTCTGCATTTTTTTTTTTACGTTGTTATGACCTGGTTTCTTGGCAACTATGTAGCAATGTATGTTAATATAAAGCTTTAGTGGGACTCTGGTAAGGGCTGGATATCCTTTATTTGTGCTCCTTGGCTTCAGCAGGAATGTTTGCGTTAGCGAGGGCAGAATGTGGCTGCAGGCTGGTGCTCATAGCTGTGTCCCTGTTAACTTCCCGCAAGATGCAAAAATTGAGTTTTCTCTGGAAAGAATCCCTGGAGCTAAATGTCCAACGTGTGTGGCTTTTTGTTCACGTTTTTGTCTCCCTCCCACCCTCCATGGAAGCACGCAGCTCTCTCAGAGTATCGCCCCATTCTCTCAAGAGCACCTGCATTTCAGCCCCGGACTTCCATAGCAGATAAGAAGTTGATTCTCATCCCTGTCATCTTTATCATCCTCCGCATCTGGAGCACTGTGCGATTCATTCTGACCCTCTGTAACTCTCCTGCAGTGCAAAATTCAGTCCTGGTTGTCCTGCATGTAAGTATTTGCCAGGAAATGCATTAGAAGGAGGATCTGGGAGGGAGATAAGGCTTTGTTGCTCTTAATATCACTTTTTTGTGGCAGGATGCAGCGCGTACCGGTAAAACAACATGCGTGTTGCAAGAACATCTGCTCCCTACTGGCAAGCGCTGTCTGGGATGCTCAGCAGTAGCTATTTCAGCAGCATCTAGTGGCTACGGAGAATAACTGCAATAGGAGTGTTGGGCAATGCCGGCTGCTTGTGGGAAAAGCAGGCTCACACCAGAAGTGTTGGGTGTCTGTCCTTCAGCAGGGCTCAGCCTGCTCCTCCCCTAGACCAGGCTGTAGAAACAGCAACCCACACCAGCCATTTCTAGTCTGCTTTTGGGTGCAAGGTTGATTCTTCTGAACCTGTTTTTCTCATTTAGGTGGAAGTTGCTGACTGTCTGTTCAGCAGTACTATAGCTGGTCTGACACGATGTTTGCTCTTCTCTGGGGGGGTGCCTGTAGGAACGGCACTGATTAATTCCTTTCTTGCCCTTGCAGGGAATTGGTAACACGTTCCAAGGAGGTGCCAACTGTATTATGTTTGTCCTCTGTACGCGGGTGGTCCGGACTCGGCTGTTTTCCTCCATTTGTTGTTGCCACTACGACGAGTTGGACTGGCCTTTGCAAAGATCAAACAACCACTGGCAGTGCCCAGAACCCCACAAGAACAAGGATGTGCCAGGCCCTGAGCGGACGAAACCCCTGCTTTCCAGCACCTGAGCCTGGGCTGCCTACATCTCAGTGTTGATTTCTTCCTTCTTGGTAAAGATCTAGTGTGAGTCTTTCCTCCTGCCCTGCCTGTGCACAGCTTCATGATGTGAGGGGTGGGGAACAGCTATCAGTAAGCAGATGACAGAGAGGTAGGCGGCTGCTGCTGCTGCTGTGGGCGTTCCCTGTCTGACTCTACAGCAGCTCCCCATCGTGCTCCTTTGGGGTGAAACCACTTATAGAACAGATCCACTCCCCTTCCCTGTGAGCTGGGGTAGTGTCAAGCCTGTAAAATGAGGAAATAGACTGCAGTGCTGTCTGGCCCACAAGGACATGACACCAGTGAAAACTGAAGAGGAGGAATTAGTGGCTCCTTTTGGTGTAAAATACCATGCACACGTACATTTCTTCAGTACTGCACAGTTCAGATGTGTTTAGTGCCCCAAGTGTTCCTCATAAGGCAATGCAATCCCTGCTGCCGATCATCATAGAAAGAAAACAGAGGGTAAGTGAGTCATCCAAGCTTACGTAGAAAATCTGTAGGAGCAAAAACTTGACAGAAGCTCTCCATCATTTCAGGTACAAGATTGGACACTGATGCCCCTCCGTTGGTCTAGTTGTTTAAGCATCTTGTTTCCTCGCGCTTGACCTCAGGAGTGATAGTTGCAGAACACATAGGGGTGTCAGACTTAATCCATTTAAGAGCACTTGGGGTTGGGGCACTGTGTGGGCTTCTGTCTGTGAAGCAGATATTGGCAATGCTCTCTTCAGTAATAGAGTGCAGCTGAAGGAGGGAAAAACCTAGAGCAGCTGTCCTGACTGCTTAGGTGAATGTAAACTGCGATGTGCTGGGAGCTGCGGTCTCTTCGGAAAGAATATGAAACCCTGTGTACTTCTGCAGTTGTACTTACCCTGCAGGTCACACTTGGTAGAAGGGGCTGAGTCTGAAAGGCAGCAAGTCTGTCTGGGTCATGGGGCGCAGCAGGGGTTGAGCATCCTGGAAAGAAAGCTGTGTATTGGGTACGGTAGGTCTCTGAGCAGATCTCTCTCACGTACATCTGTTTCTTGTCTTCCCAGACCACAAAGCCCCAAAAAACAAAAGGACTTTTTTTAATCAATTGACAATTCTTTTTAATGCGTATAACAAGTTTTTGCAAAAAGATCAGAAGCCTCATGAATTGCCTGGGGAGAGAGGGCAGCTGTCAGGCTGCCGCTGCTCCAGGCAGCCAGCTGTTCAAGAGCTGCTCTTGTTAGTTTAATTTTTGTCATTTTAACAGCATGCCGAACAGTGAAATGATACAGTGATCTCATGGGACTATAGGCAGAGGCGAGTCCCGTTATTTCCTGAGTTGAAGACTTGGCATTAACTTTATTATTATATTAATATATTCAAGCCCCCTGGTACACAGGCTGTGTAAACATGGGGAGGTGGAGTCCTCAAGACTCGTGAGCCTATTTCATGGGGCTGTAGAGGGGCTCAGCTCTTTAGCATCCCTAGAGTCTTTGAAGGGTAGATGCGAGCATCTTATCTCTGGCGCAGATGACTTCAAGATGTTTTTCCTCCTTTCAAAAGGCTTTTTTAAACTTCTGAAAGCTAAGTAGCAACCTTGGTAGCTCAACTTCATGTTAATCCCATGTGGCTTGGAAAGAGGAGCTATGTTAAAAACTTCTTGCAGAAAGGCAGGGTAGTAAATCTTAAATTTTATGAGACTTACAATTGTGCTGTGTTCGGTTTTTTGGAGCCAGCCCTGAAGAGAGGAAGTAAAATTGTCACCAACTTGGCTCAAGGGAAAAGAAAACAAAACACCACAAACACAAAAAAATACCCCTCACCCCCCAAAAAAAACCTCAAAAAACTAATCAAAACAGATTCCTTGTTCTCAGTTTGCCTTTTTCCATAACAGAGCTCTGAGAAATGCTTTTGGAGGAATGTGCAGCTCGACAGAATTACATTCTCAGCTCCCAGGGGCTCAGGGAAGCGTGCTGGTTTCTAAAGGCCGGCTATTGGCAATAGCACCTGTGCTGATAGAGGTGGAAAGTCTCTGGCCATCTTCATGTCGGCAAGGACAGAGGAAGAAAAACAGCCCACAGAGAACCTCTTAGAAGTGTCTGTAGTTCCTAACACTGAAGCTGACTGCAGCCTAAATATAAACAGAGATGGGATAATAGGGGAGGTGGTGTGCAGAAATGCTTGGCTGCTCCTGGCAGGTCCCCCTCAGTCTCTGGCATGAAGTGCAAGTGCAGGGGTGGTGCTGGAGTGCAGTTCTCCCCGCAGCCTCGGTTGTCTGTGAAGATGACTCCGAACTCTTTCCTGTCAGGCACGGACTGGAGAATTTTACCTCGGATGTTTCTGAAGGTGGCTGAGGCTGGGGTACCTGGCTGTACTTTAGGAATGGGTCCATCATGTCTGTTTTCAGCTGCTGCAAGGTGACGTCCCTGCGGCTTGAGCTGCAGCAAGCCTGTTGTCCTGGCTCAGGGCAAGCCTGTGCACACTGGCTGCAGGAAGGTGGGGCAGTCCTGGATTTTAACTGTGCTTCATTTTGAGCAGGTGCGGGATCATCCCAGAGTCCCACAGAGGGAGCTAAAGCCTGGGGAAAAGCACCGCTGGAGTGGCTGAGCAAACGGAAGAGGTCCGGCTCCTCCTCGGCATTCAGATACCAGCTGCTTTGGTCTTGAACTTTGCTCAGGATCCCCTGGAAGATACTGTTCGGCTGTACTCCAGCTTCCTGGTTTTCTTCCCTCCTTCCCCTCACCCTCCACTATAAATCTTAAAAACTGTTTGGGGTTTTGCTTTTCTGTCTGACAAGGCAAATGTGTTGTGAGTTCTGGGGTGAACAAATATCATGGTGACAGGAAAACTTTAGTAGCTGCTGAACTGGACTATCCTGGGCATGGTTTTGAGTCCTAGTGTGTGAGGACTTCCAGGGAGCTTCAGACTGGCTCCTGTTCTTCACTTGAATGTGGACAATAGGGTGCAAACATGCCTGTCTTGTGGTGGTGATGGATGGTTCTTCTACGGTTTATTCCTCCTCCTTGGTGGTTAGGGGTCTTCATCAGGGTTTGTGGTGGCAGCACGGTTATTGCCTCCTGAGGAAATCTGAACTCTGCAGACTCCCTTGGTGCTCAGGGATATCTGGGTGTACCACCCCAGCCTCCAGCAAGGACAGCCCTCACCAGCAGCAAGACGGTGCCTGGCACGTGCTCCGAACTCCAGATGTCTTCTGCCGAAGCACAGGCTACGGTCTGTTCTTGCTTTGGGAGTGTTACATCAGAGCTGGGGAGGGGATGGTTTTTTGTTTGCTATTTGGAGATAGTGTTTTACCTTATTTACAGCTCCTCACTTGCTTGTTTTTTAAATATTTTATCCAACTTTTACAAAATAAAGTTTTGTTTTTTTACCAAGATGATGTTCGAGCATGTTGTGATGGGTCTCAGCACCTTGGAGAATTTGGATGAGAAACTGTTGCAAGATCTTCCTTCAGGTTTCTTTTGTGTCTACCTTAAAGACTAAGGCAGGTACAGGAAGACAAATCTTTTCTACCTATTTGTAGATATGCTCCTCTTCCTATGTACACCTTTCATCAGTTGGAGCAACCTGTTCACCAGTATGCGTTGTTACAGTTCATTCTTACTGGCCTATTGCTGTGAACTGTGGAAAGACCTCTGAGAAGTGAGTATGTGGGTCTTATTTCCCTTAGGCTCAGGTGACCTTACGGGCTGTGGCTCTCAGCTATGCGAGATTACAAATGTTAGGTAATCATGAGATTACAAATTGCACTTTCTCCAGATGAGGCCAGGCTGTAAGGTGGGTGGGACTAACGTTGGGGAGAGCTGGTGCTGTCCCAGGACCTGCCCAAATAGAGAAAATTCAAGTCACTATGGGGGAAAAAAACGGAGGCTGACAGTTGAGTATTGCTTTGTAAGTTGCCATGTGATTCCAACCTGTGAATGCACTTTTCTCAGAATGGATTCAAACTCTGTTGGCCGTCTCACAGGGCTGGAAGCAGCCAAGAGCCCTGGTGTAAGAAGTGGTGCTGGACCTTGGCTATAGTCACAACTGACTGAGCGACAGTGTCTGTTACTAGGGTTGCACAGCGCTTCCCTTCTGGGATATCTGCTTTTCTGTGGTTTATGACTGTGCCATAAATTTAAGTGGTTGACCTGGGCAGGCCAGGAAAGGAGTCCAGATGCTGTAGACAGCAAGCGGAGGGGAAGCTTGTTTGTTCTGCAATGTTAGAAGTGATTGAAGGCTCCTTGCAGTATTTTGGCTGCTCTGTAAGGGGGGCTTGCAATGTGTGCTTTGTGTCGGCGCTCTGCCTTCTGACTGCATGACAAGCCTTAGCTTTGCACATCAAGGGTTGTCCTTCAGATTCTCTATCCTAAATATTGCCATCCCTGAGCACGTCTTTGCCACTTGGAGCTCCTATGCTCAGTGTGCTCCAACACATGGACTAGGGGCTGATGTCAGAACGAAGGGCAGGGAGCCGAGCTGCGTGCTGGTTTCCAGTAACTCTTGGGAGTCTTTGAAGTTCACGGAGAGGTTTTAAGTATATAAAGACAGAAAGGAACTGTATGTGTGGGGAGGGTGCTGGCTGCCTATTGTGGACTATGAGAGTGGAGCCTGGGGAGGGGAAGTAAGAAAAGCTAGGTCTGCAAAGAGCAGAGCTTGTTAAATAACAAGAGCTGGAAGGAAACCAGGCTGGAAAGATGGGAAGGACTTGTGGTGGTTGGAAGTGGAGTTGGAAGTTTTAAGTCTGACTGGATACAAAAAATACAAGCCTACAACGAAAATGTTGGGTGGTGGCGCGTGGGCTGTGTGAAGGAGGTAGGAGTGCGATGCAGCTCTGGATTGAGGGGAATAAAGAGCAACGGGTCGTAATGGCTGGAGGGTGCTTGCCCACGCTCTTTCTCCAGGCAGGAGTCGGTTAGGACTTGGTGAGTTCACATCTCACTTACATGTACTATCACTACTGTTACACTACTTATCAGTACTGCTGATACTGATTTGGTCATTGCAGAATCCTATTCTCCTTTTTTCCCTTTTTGTCGGCTTCCCAAGACTTGAGTCTGTGCAAGATGATCCCTGGCTCTAGGAGTGAACCAGGGTTCTGTAGTGCGGGAGAATCTGGGTGATGTTGGTTTTACTTTAAAACCTAGACGTTGTGTGTTTAAGGAACCATCTATTTGCAAGAAAAGGATAAATCATCTTGTTGCTAAAGCAGGGGAGCATCTTAGAAAAGTAATTTCTGGTGGTGCCACTACTATCCTCTCTTCTCATCATGGAGAACAGTTACAGAGATGACACCAGAGTACTCTAATGCTGCCAAACCTAATGTTTGTAAGACTTACGATTGCATAATACAAGTCACTCCTGCTACTCAGAAGTGTGGATGTCTGTTGTGCTGCGCTGAATTCCATGTATCTTGTAACCTGTGCAACTCTATAGGGAGCCGCAGAAATCAGTGCGGAGTGGCATGAGCTGGCAAACGGCAGGTCTTGGCCGGCACAGTCAGTATTTCTGTCCTGGATAGAAAAATGAACCCCCTAAGGTCCAAGAGGGCAGTGTGGGTGTACTGACAGTCAGTGTACTGACTTCTGCTGAACAAAGTGCAGATGGAGATTTAATATCCAAGCATTCCAACACTTTCTGAAACATCTTCTGGGTCACACAACCCTGCCAACAGAGAAAGGACTAGACAGTTCCCAGACCAACTTACCAGATAGTGATGTGGTAAGTTTACAGATCTGTCTGCTCCTTTGTTTTTACTTTGGGGATGCGTCTGTGTGGCTGAGGCTCTTCTGAGATGGTCTTCGAGGGCAGCAATGGAAAAGGAAGAAGGTTGGCAGGATGCTACCTAGCATTGCCTTTGCGTGGTGAAAATAGGGTCTTGTTTACTTTGTAGTTCCAGAGCTTCATGTCTCCTACTGTTTACCTGCAGTGTGCTTATTTATCCAGCAATCCCCTTTCCTATTGCTAGGGGATCAGACTGCCACATCTGCCTCTTAATTAATTGGCTGGTAGCCATTTATGCAGCTAATAAAGCAGTATCTGTATATGACTTATTTGCAGGCAAATCATTTGTTACTTAAATTATTGTTTCACCTTGAGGCCCCAGTTGTAGCTGAGGACTGCATATAATATTGAATTAGCCTTGACTGAACGTGCAATTCCTTCCCAAAATGCAGGTGAAAAGGCTGCTGATGTCACTCTTTTGGACAAACACTGTGGAATGTCTCCTGGTAAGTCTCCTTACCGCAGGCATTGCAATCAGCATACTGCAGCATGGCTGAGTGCCAGCTCCCAGTCTAACCATCACTTTTCTATAGCTCACTGCTAATGTTCTCCAGCAGACTTATTGTCCTGGAAACTAAGCTTCCCCTCTTAATTATTTTTGCCAAAGGTATCAGGGTTTCATAGGATCCAGCTCTGAGCACAGACAATTGGGCTGAGTGTAAACGGTTTCCTGCACGCATGCATGGGAACTCTTACCACGTGGTGGACAAGTGCGGAGGAGAGAAGATACAGAGCTGAGTTAATGTCTTCAGACAATTGCACTCTGGGGTGAAGAGCAGATGTAAGAAGCTTAATATGTGCTGTAGCTGAAGTTGAAAATGTGCTTGTAAAACGCCTGTAAAACTTGCTCCCTTTACTTGCTTCTGGCGCTGTTCTTTGCCCAAGTCCAACAGGATCTCGGCTGTTGAAGTTATACCCCTGTAATGGCATTTAAAGTCCAAGGAAAAATTAATTCACCGTCCTGTCTCCCTTCATCGAACTCTTCCAAGATCATCTTGGAGCCAATTACTACCTTACAGATGTTGTTACCAGATTCTTGCTGTGATTGGCAAATGTTCAAAGTGTTCTGCTGCCGTAAGCAGCATTTACTCTGGTGAAGGATTTCTGATGGCAAACATACATGTCCTGTTTGATTTCTGTGTCAAGAATTTCTTCAAGTTCAGGGAAGGAGTTTAAAGACCATGATAGAGAATTCTCCTTTCTTATAATTACTGAGCAGCAAAGTGGCTGTCATTCTGCCAAGAACTCCCAGAAGAACGATACTGTCTTTAAAGAACGGGAATTTCATGAAAGAAGTTTGTCCTTGCAACTTCCCTACCCCTGGGGCAGAATGGCTCACTTTCCATTTTCCCTCTTCTGGCCAAAGATTTGTGAAAGTGAGAACTAAACTAGTTGCTGAGTGAGCTATGACCTGTCTGTGCTGGCTTTGGCTGGGATGGAGTTAATATTCTTCACAGTAGCTGGTACGGGGCTGTGTTCTGGATTTGTGCTGGAAACAGTGTTGGTAACACAGGGATGTTTTTGTTATTGCTGAGCAGTGCTGACACACAGTCAAGGCTTTTTCTGCTCCTCACCCCACCCCACCTGTGAGCAGGCTGGGGGGGCACAAGAAGTTGGGAGGGGACACGGCCGGGACAGCTGACCCCAACTGACCAAAGGGATATCCCACACCATATGACGTCATGCTCAGCACATAAAGCTGGGGGAAGAAGAAGGAGAGGGGGGGACGTTCGGAGCGATGGTGTTTGTCTTCCCAAGTCACCGTTACGCGTGATGGAGCCCTCCTTGTTTTGCTTTGCTTGTGTGCGCGGCTTTTGCTTTACCTATTAAACCGTCTTTATCTCAACCCATGAGTCTTCTCACTTTCTCTTCTGATTCTCTGCCCATCTCACCAGGGGGAGTGAGCGAGCGGCTGGGTGGGGCTTAGTTGCTGGCTGGGGTTAAACCATGACACTGTCCCATTTGTTTTGAGGTGCTTTGAGCAATGTTTGAAGGCAGCATGGGAAAAGCTGAGCTAGCTCAGAGTGTCTTGGTTAGTGCCATTAGCTACATTCGCTCAGTGGGACTGCAGGGGAAGGTAGAGAAAGATGAGTTACGGGTGAAATGAATATTCTGGTTTGCATCTCTCTTCAGTTAAGACACCACGTGATAGGTGGGACTGAAGCAGGAGTCACTCCTGAAAGAGCCAGGAGTGTTCTTGAGGTTCTTGATCCACTGTCAAGATATCCCAGCAAACAGCATCCCTGAGGATGTTAACTTATAACAAATGCATTAAAAGACAAATGACAAGAAGTCTAGGGAGGACTTCCACTACCCTGAAAGCAGCAGGGCTCCGTTCCCCTTCCTATTTTTAGAGCAGGATGCTTTCACCTAGAGCAAGGGAGGCTGCAACCAGTCAAAGAATGCATGCAAGACACATGAACAACTCCTGTTGCTCAAGAGGATGCGTTGTTTTTTTTTTTAAGCTGGCTGTTAAAGATAGATGGACCAATAACAGCAAGGTTTGGTTCCAGTTTCTCTGGCTGCTGGAGGTATCTGTGAACTTTGCATTTCTCTGATAAACTCTAGAAATTGTAGTCGACCATTAACCAAGTCCATGTACTGTTAAAAGTAGTCTCATAGTGTAGGAAGTTAATACTAAGCCAGCACCACGTGGTATACCTTGCATGTAGAGGGAAAGGAACTAATGTGCTTTGGTGGAAAAACAGTGTGTTCTTGTGTCCTGTCAAAAACACAAATCTGAGAGGATGAACCTGTTCTCTGTGAACTGCAGAAATGCCCCGAAGCAAGTTGGTTCATGCAAGGTAGGACAATGAGCGGTATTTAGGCCCAAGGGCAGATACGCAATCCGTGGCTGCAGGAGGGTTAATACAGTTCAGTGTTATCGCTGTGGCCCGTGGCAAACACCCGCTCTGTTGCCGAGGCTGCTCCTGCAGAATGCCCCACTTTCCCCGGCGTGCAGCAGTCGCCTCTCCAGCTGCGCTGTCCACAGCTGCCCATGAGCTGCGGCGTGAAGGAGCAGCAGCCCTATTGCTATAGACTCATCTTGTCCATGTGTATATAGCTGGGGGAAAACAGCTCATTTAGCAGCTTTTGCGATAAGTCTGCCCCTTCTAGTCGGAGAGATTGGCCTGTTTCCCCTGTAGCTAGGCAGCACCTCAGTTTTGAGTCGGGATCTGGCAAAAGAACATCTGACCTAGCGGTGACAGACTTGAACGAGGAAAAGAGAAGACACGAGGGAGTCACGCAGAGTAAGGGAATGGCCAGACAATAACAACTTTGGCTGATAGAGCTTGTCGTTGATTGGATGTTTTCTGAAAAGCCACAGAGGGGGATTTTCTGTGCAGGGCGTTTCCATCCCCGCGTTGTCTGTTTTGGCTATAAAAGCCTCTACTCGGCATCTGTGATTCAAACACCAAAATGAAGTTGAAAAGAGAGAAGCAGGAGAGCTCTGACTGCGATGAAGGTTCAAAGGGGGTAAGTATGCCGGACTCTATACTTCCAACTTGAGCCTCCCACAGAGATACAGGGCAAGCTGTTTGAGATCTGCAGGTACTTGTAGAGGAAGATCCAAGATCTTTTGGGCTAACGTATCCGTAACTCATCTTGCAGGGAGAGCAGAGATGCGTATGTTCTTGAACCCCATTTATGTCTGTCTGCAGCGTAGTGTTGCACTCTCATGATTTTGTCTGCAGGTGACCTACCTTGTAACTTCTGTGTGACTTTCCCCTTCTGTGGGTGAGTTTTCTTTCCTACTTTCTAATCAGTTTTAGGCTGCAGATGCTTCTGGATGGGGGCTGCCCATAGAGCAGCGTTTTTGTGGAATCTTGCACAATGCAATGCTCGTGTATGCCAGAGGCTTTCCTAAATGTGAATAATTAACACCAGTGGCTCCTTTCAGCTCCTGGGATTTGTTTAGTGAGAGCAAGGCAGCCTGCTTTTCATCACCAATGTGAGAATGTCAACAGTCTACTCCTAGAAAATGTAGCTGGAAGCCTCAGCTTCCTCCTGATCCTTACTCTGAGATTGACTTGAATTTTGATCTCCTGCAGTGCCTTAAACTCTGCAGATCTCTGGAGGTGAGCTGCTAGAGCTTCTGAGGAATACAAGGAGTACCGGCAGCTATTTGGACAAATGTTCAATTTAGGGAAATGACAGATTTCATTCAATGACTCGTGAGTGTTGGGACGTAAAATCTTGCAGACATGAAGGCTATTGATGGTGACAACTATATGCATCTGAATGAAAAATTACTTTATTGATGTAGCAGCAATGAGATATATTAATGAGCTATAAAAACCCCCAAAAACCAGCTCAGTCAACACAGCGGGGCCAGCCTGAGAACTGAATAGCAACTCAATTGTTGGAAAAAGTGAGTTACTTGTAACCCTGAGGACCGCGTACCCACAGCCAGGGTTGGTGCTTGATCCTACTCCAGATGGCGATTTCACCCTTCTGTTTAACGGCAAAGTGCTGCTCTTCTGCCCCACCGCCAAGCCCTCGCTGAGCCCCTTGGATAAGTTCTAATTGGCTTCAATGGCAATCGGATTAGATCCATAAACAGCTTGATCCTGAAATGTGGGAGGCAGGACAAGCCAGCGTGTGAAGGCATGACAAACGAAGAGGACAGGGATTTTGCCACTTTATGCAAAATCTCTTCTTTTTCAGCTTTCCTGTGCCAGTGTCCTGTGTTATTTCACTAACCAATTTGCATGTTGGAAAAAGAATAATTGCATACAACTTTTTTGCCTGCGGGCGGTATTTTAACAATGATAACTTTAAAAATTATTCATCATCTAAATGATCCATCAATACCAGGAAAGAGTAGAATGAATTACTGTAATGACTATGCAAATCAAGCAGAACAAAATTAGTTATCATGAAAACAACCCATTGGGCTTTCTTTATACAGTAACATGAAGTGACAAACACAGAAGGCAAGCCTTAGGGTACTTCTCTATTTTTACTGAACGCCGTTTATGCCTAAAAGCCAAACCTGCTTCTGAGGTGGTGTTTCTGTGTTTTCTTTTCCTTCTGCAGAAAATGACGCTTTTGCTGGCACTGGTAACGCTGATATCTGCGTTTGGATCGTCTTTCCAGTACGGCTACAACGTGTCTGTGATTAATTCTCCAGCCCTGGTAGGTTGGACTGCGGAGTGGACCATGACCTAGGAGCGGGTTTACGAACAAAACGAGGCAGGAGCGTAACAGTAGATGACGGGTGTTTGTGGGCAGAGGCTTGTACTTTCCTCCGTGCTTTGAATCACCGGGCACCTGGTGAGAAGTGACTCCCCAGGAAAGGAAAGGGGGGCTGTTACGGCGTATAACACTACTGTCGGGACTCTGTGCCTAGGAGAGACGGGGCATGAGGAATGCCTTCCCTTCTGGAAACCAGGCAAATCCTACAAGGCAGGATAACTTGTAGTAACAGTTAACTAGTCCAGGCTCCTCCATCCCTCTCTTGCATTCGTTTTCCAACTCAGCCATTCTGGTTTTTATCAAGACGTTTGTTTAAAGCTTTATGGTGTTTGTTGTTAACTAGCTTTTACAGCACGAAGATTTTACTTACTGTGCTAAACATGCTCTGTATTTCATTCTAGTACATGCAAGACTTTTACAACCGAACCTACTTCAACAGGAGTGGAGTGCCTATGGACAGCGGCTTCCAGACGCTGCTCTGGTCTCTTACTGTGTCCATGTACCCTCTGGGTGGCTTGTTTGGGTCCCTCATGGTGTGGCCTCTGGTCAACAATTGTGGCCGGTACGTGACAGTGGTGTTTAACAACCTTCACCAACAGTTTGCTGGGTTCAGATAAGACTTGCCTCACTGGTCACTCCAGCTTGCCAAGCCCATCAGGAGCATGATTGTGTGTCACACACCTTGATTGTAAGGCTAAATGGGCCCGTGATTAGTTGCTGGATTCAGCAATACCTGTTGTCTCCCACACGTAGAAGAATTTATATGGTTTTGGTATGGTCAAGGCCAGGCTGTATGCTGGGCACTGAGCCAGTTAGAGAGCAACGATGAAAGCCATGGGCTGGGATTTGAGATCGGGCCCAGCTTCTGCTGCTCGGGTTTCCTGAGAAACTTCAGTTCTTTCTTAAAGCCTCCATTCCCTGCAGGAAAAATGGGACAATCGCCACTTTCTCTTTGGTTAGTCGTTGGGATGGTGATTCATTTGAGTTTTGGGCAGTATAACGCAGGGGGGATCTATCTGCTCTTGGGGCCTTAGAAAAAATAAACTGAATCTGTCTCCTTCTCTATTACTTTGCAGAAAGGGCACTTTGCTGATAAATAACCTCTTCTCCATTGCTGCTGCAACCCTTATGGGAACCTCAGAGCTAGCAAAAACCTTTGAAGTAATCATCCTTTCACGTGTTATCATAGGAATATATGCTGGTAAGTGAGAGGTTGGATGGCAAAGGGAGAACAATAAATATATTCTTAGCTACGTAAAGGTGTTTTATTCTCACAACAGATGGTTTCACAGGTAGCACATTTTAGCCAACGTCTGCATAACAATGCTGTACTTGCTTGAATAACAGTTGTCATCTGCATGTTGCAGAAGTACTAAAGATCTCTAGTAAACAATGGCAGTGAGACTGGAATTTAGGAGGTACGGGGAAGATGTGTGTCTGTAGATGCAGCTATTCTCTGTAATAAGCATCTGCTAGGCACTGGAGCTCTGACAGCCAGGAAACCTGATGTTGTTAATCTGTTTTCCCAGACGTCTTAAAGCAGATTTTTTTTTTCTTTTTTTTTTTTTTGTTTTTTTT